AAAAATGATATGATTATTGAATTAGTCTTTATATTAAAATTTGTCCATCCATACTAATCTCTATTTATTAGATTAATATTTACACTGTTAGTGGATTTGATACAACACGTTGGACGCATGACTTCTTAATTGAGTAAATTTTTATATAAAATGTTATATTATATCTAATGTATAAATATTATTTTTATTTAATATAAAAGATGAAATATTAAAATTAAGAAAAAATAATTTCTTTCAACTATTATTGAGAGGAGAAAGAATTTTTTTTTTAAAAAAAAAAATTTCATCGAAATAATTAAAAATTAATTATTTACACGATTGATTGATAAATAGTACGTATCATTTATGATGAAAATTTATTCAACTGTAAATGATCACATGTCCAACTTAATTAATAATACATAAACTAAAAAAATATTTTTTTTGAAATTAATACACATTTTTTTAAAAAAATATTAGAATCAAAAGAATAAAAAATTAGTACATTAATTAATTAAACATATATGATTAATACTTGCACTAAGTTAATAGTTAGTCCGCTAAAAATTACAAGAGAACGTACAAAAAAATGCAGTATATATATATATATATATATTCATTTGGACCTACCTTTTTGACTTTATGTACGCATGAAAAACACATGCCTGCCATCAATAGTAGAATATTTTTTTCACTCATTAGACAGAGAAATAAATAATAATAATTACAGAAAATTAAGAAATCAGATCGTGTCATAAATATATATATATATATATATATATATATACGTATAAAGGCATTTGGCAGTATTCATAATAAGATCGATATCAGGGTGTATAAATTTCTGTTGTATGGCTATTCAGAGCTTAATTCAAGGATTAATCCCTTCAAGCTTCTTCTTCATGAATAGCAGACCAGAAAATTGTAATCTCATCAAAAATGGTGTCTGTGTTGATCCTTTTAGGGTTCGGTGCAAGCTTGCAGCTGGTGGAAGTGAAATCCCGGTGCATAAACAATCCATTCCAAGGAGGTCAGCAAATTATGAACCTCCTCTTTGGAGCTATGATTATATTCAATCTCTGACAAATGATTATCTGGTACGTACGTTTCCTTCTTACCCTGCTTAATTACTAGTGTGCATCTTCATCTGTGTATGTTCGTATATATGCATAAGATATTCCGATTCAACACAAAGTTGCAGACTAAATTCCATTAACTTTTGCTAGCTAGTAATATATATGGTCTTTATTTTCTGGATAAATACACAATTTAGTTCCCAACTGACTTAATATTAATTTTAGCTATAAATCTTTTTTAACTTCCAAACCTTTTAAAGCGTCTGGCTAATTATTAACATGTTCTGATAAAATCATTATTTATGTTCTGGTTTATGTTAGAGGTTAACACAGCTAAAATTTTGTCAATAACAACTTAGACCTGTTTTAATTTATTCATTCCCCAACATTCTGTTTTGATAAATTTTAGTGATAGTTAATTAATGTATGGTAATTGAAGTAATTGAATGGCAAAAATTTTTTATATTTGGATGACTATATATTAATGTATGTTAATGACATATTTTTATTTAGATGATATGATGATATACTTGTATTTTTAGTCAAATTACTAATTTA